TGTGTCTGTGTCTGTGTGTTCGTCTGTACCGATTTTTCATCTCGAGACCTACAAAAGCTGCGGGGCTGGAATTATGGGAACTTAATCTACATGCATCTACGGGCTCCCATCCCCGATATGGGCGGTCTTACTCGCATGGTACCCACGTACAGGCCCGCCAAAGTTTTTTACGGGCAAGCCGCTAACTCGAAAACCAGAGAAGCTGGAAAGCTGAAATTTAAAAAAGACGTTTCTCGTCCAAGGAGGTGTTAATGAGCTGAAACCCAGGCACCAGGTATTCGTGTTACCCACTTATGGGTTCGCGAAAGTTTTTTTTCGGATAAGTTGCTAACTCGGGAACCTGAGAAGCTAGAAAGCTGAAATTTTAAGGGGGTATTTCCTGATAATTTAGGCAGCCAGTCTTAATTTTTTTTTTTTTGGTTCTTTAACGCGAATTCGGCTTGATCGTAGAAATTTATTTGTGTATTTCTTAATGGTGAAAGACGACAAAGTTTAGTTTGTAATGGTAAAAGTTTAGTTGTACAAAACATGCAACTGTAGCATTTCACCGATAAATTTTTTTTTTCAGGATAGTAGGCCATATTATCTTAGCGGATTCCATTGGACAGCGATGTATGCGAGGGCCAGAGATTACAGGAAGGAGCTGTTCCATGTCTGCTGCCAACCAAACATTCGCACCTGGAGAACCGAGAAAGCCATGTAAGTGCTGGAAGCCATGAGAAATAGAAGGCAGTACAGACCGTAAAGGCCTTGTAAGCAATAGAAAAAGGCTAAGGAGCTCACGGACAGGAACAGCGGCCAATTCAGTGAAGAGTAAAGACCAGTACGAGCAATACAAGCCCTCTGAGGAGACTATGAAGAGCCCGTCGGGGAGGATAGCGATCACCGGCAATAAAGTAGTAAATAAGTTCCTAAAAAAAAGCCATGCCGAAAAAGCCACTCTCACGATAGATAAAAAAACCATGTAAAGCCATGTCGAGAAAGCCACTCTCACGATACATTGCAAAAATTTATCAAAACTATTTGAATTTAAAAAAAAACGGCCGTTAGAAAGCCGAAATGTTAAGAAACGTCGACAGAAAGGCCGAATCATAAGTGGACGCTCCAACTGAATTGGGCCAAAGTGAGTTAAATTGATAAATGATTTGCGGTCCTTGGTGTAGGCCAAACCGTAATTTTGGAAGTAAACGGCCAGAAAAAAAAGACGTTGAAAAATATAGAGGAATATGTAGAAGTTGGTCTTCTGTATGTTTCATCCCTTAGCTTTAAACACAGACGGTAGGGGTGGGAATCATCAAAGTGCGGTTAGAAGTGGGAATCATCAGTACAGCCTCCTAACCACCATGTGGCCTCACTGGCAATGCGATCGATATGAGATACTCATTCCAGTTATCCGGGTGGTATTGTTGTTTTTTTTTTTATACTTGGTAATAATCTGGATATTTTAAAAAAAATTTAAATTTGGATAAAATTTAAGAAAAAAAAAACTGGTGCTGTACATGGGGACAACAACATGTAAATCATTAACACTTTTAGTGATTTGTCGAATCCAGTGAAACTTGGCGAA